AAATAATAAGACAAAAAGTTACATTGGAAATAAATTTTAGGGGTTACGTTTTCCACCCCTTACAACCATGGGGTAAACCAAATGAATGACTGGCTAAGTGTCTTTTTGGTAGTACAAAACGTCAGGTTGATTTCGATATTCTAACTTTTTTATGTACCCCCTTTAAGGGGCTATATCTTAACAAGGGATGTTCCAATGAAGTTTCTTTATATGAAAAATCCTATCTTTTTTTCGATGAGGAATCACCTCCTTGAATATTTTACACATATTCAGTTACACCCTGTATATTGGAGTTTCTGACCAACTCTAAAAATTCTTGAGTTAGCAACCAAAAGAAATGAGTGTATTGATGTTGAAAAATGGAGAAAAACTAAAATTGTAAATATAGTCAGTCTGCATAAAACTTATTGTGTAAAAAATTTGCCCATGAATTATTGTTACTTACACGATATTGTTCAATCTTCCATAGCACACTTTCATGAAAATGTTCCGTTACGAGGGGAATACAAAAAGTAATTTTTTATAAAATCTCAATTATGTCGGCAGATTGTGAATTGGAAGTATGACTGTGACATATCATTGGATAAGTAATTCTATACCGAATCTTTATTTAAAAAAAACATACTTTCCATTTGAAATATAAGAATTGGATGCGCTTCCGGCCAAACCGTAACTGTCATATTTGGTTTGATACTTGCTAATTTATAAATCCATAATGTCAAATCGAAGAACCGAATTTGAAACATCCTCATAAAATAACAACGAATATACAGGGTGATAAATTGGTTCCGGGTCACCCGGTATAAATTGCGTCCACATCCACCGTATTCGCCAGAGTTGGCTCCCAGCGAATAATCGCTGTTCGCAGACTTCAAAAAATGATCAACGGTGACAAATTTTGCTTGAATGAAGAGGTTACTGCTGAAACTGAAGCCTATTTTGGGGCAGATAAATCAAAAGGTGTCGTGTCATACCTACCATTGCATGCTATATCCAACTCTTGTCTTGTGAAACTCAAAGTATTATCCGCTACTGCGCAGGTATGGAACTGGCATGCGAAAATAGCCTCCCGACCCATTTCTCCTCGGTGGTAGCACTTTATGAGGATGTCACCTCGAAGTTGAAGACCCTTCCGTCCTTCACCAGTGACATTAACTGTGAATTGACCCACTCCTCTCGACACTGAATACACTCCTGGAAAGAAATACCACGAATCACAAAGTGATAAAAATATAAACTGTAATTTACTCATAATTATGTACTGGAATTAGTTGCTGAGTTCAAAAAACTGGTTTCGTTTATAATGAAAAAAGTAATAATAGTAAATGTCGCCTGTATGAAATTGAAATGCTTCAACAGCTTTATGACGACCATTTTGACAGAATGATGGACATTTGTGGAACAATAACGGAGATTATGAATGATAACCAAAATATATGCAGTACAAGTATCAGTCGATAACAATTTGAACAATCTGAACAGATTCAGGAAGCCCTCAAAGGACACCCTGTGCATGGGTATTACTGTTTTATTCACTACATTCACACTATACATCAGTACAGTGAAAGTTAAATGGACTTGACAATTCAGGTTATCTGAAGAAATGAACTTTAAACGTTCAAGCCTACACAGTAGGTTGAATGGACTGACGCCTATCAGAAAACAACTACTCCCCTGGCTAATACCACGAAGGGCGTTGGATTATATCCGACAGGCGTCAGTGCAGGAATCTTCACAGAAAATCTCCTGCATATGCAATTGACAATACAACTGAAAGAGTCGACCTTCAATTCTGGAACGGGCACACTTGCAGACCGGTTTCGGGCTTATTAGCCGCTCATCAGTGCAAGATAGTGACCATCATCGACCGAAAGTCAATGATATTCCACAATTGAAAATCGGAATTCTTTCAGAGTATTTCATTCCTCATAGCGTCAAGTGGTGTTCGACCGTAGTGCTTCAAAAGACATGTATAAAATCGTGACAGGTGACGAATCATGGAACAAAACAGCAATCGACCGTGCTGTTATTCCAAGACGAGCTGAATACAACAAAAGTTGTTCGTGGAAGAAGCACAGCGAAGCAAAAGGTCGCCTGTTCACAAACCACTTCCTCTATAGACGCTTCAAAGCATCTCCGACCATGGTAATGGTCGGAGATGCTTTTGTAGTTCGTTATGACCACCTGTAGAGGTCGCAGCAATAATAATTTGTCAATGCTGTCAGCTGGCAACGATTTTCAGCTCTCTCTATAACTTAGAATCGAAACTATATAAAAAGCGGGAAACTTGAACGCAACAGCTCAACCATTGAAACTTTTCCTAGAATCAATTACCCTAACACCAAACTGATATTTTTTGCACTCGACGCGCGTTTCGCTAACAAGGTTAGCATCTTCGGATGAAAAAAATTGATACAGTATCAATTTTCTTTTAGAACGATATACCATTATTTGGTGTAGAGAGCACTCCCATTTTCTGAATTGTTGTAGATATTTTTCAGGATTTGTAAATTTGTGTAGCATTGCAGATGCTAAATACTTTGAAATGTAGCATTTCCTACACGACATAGTTGTAAACGAAGTTTACAAAAAATTTAAAACAAATTATATGAAACAATGTAATAACACTGTATAAATATGTTTATATGAGATACAAACTAACTCATCGGGGAACACTAATAATAATAAATATAGTTTAAAAATACTAAAAAACACGCTTTCACAGAACATCGAACTAAAAAGTTGAACATATTTTTTTTAATAAGATTGAAACAATAACGACCAGAAAGTACTAGTGTTATTGTGAAAAAAGCGCTTGATATATAAAAAATATGGCAAAAAGCGCCCACACTTTTTTCACAATAATACTACTATTTTTCGTTCGTTATTGTTTCAAGCTTATTTAAAAAAAATATTTTTAACTATTCAGTTCGATGTTCTTTAAAAGCGTGTTTTCGATCCAATTCGACCTGATAACCGAGTTGTGTGGGACATGAATTCCGACAATCACAAATCGGGAGTCTCGAACACTGATTCCGACGCCTTTTAAAACTGACAAACAGCTACTAATGTTCATCACATACCTCTTTTACGCGACACGCTCTCATAATCAAGAAACAAATTACTACACGATTACTATCTCACTCTCGCCATTTCATCGCGAATCCCGCTAATAGGAAACAATAAGTGGGCATGAAATGGCTTTTCTTTTAACACGTTTTGATATTTGAGTCGCTCATTCTCAACTGAGCGTGACTGACAGTGCGCTTTAGCAAGCTTCACTTCTATCACGATTTTCTTCACCGATAATCCGGTGTAACATGAGTTTTGCTTTCTTCTGTGAAGGTCACTGGATATGTGTACGTGGAGAATTGCATCGAATTCAGCAATGAATATTGGAAGTGTGAGCAATTGGCATGAAACACGCAACTATTGTATTATTATGAGCGATATTGATAATGATTCGATAAAGGAACTACAAGATACGGCATGATGTTAGAGAACTATAAGCCCATCACTGTTCCATCTAGTTTCTCAAAAATATTTGAGTATGCATACCTACATCGTTTACTACATTTCATTGAGAGGCATAACATTATCTCCCCGATTCAACATGGTTTTCGATCCAATATGTCCACTATTACTACTATGACAACTTTTTACTCAAGAATCTTGGAGTGAGGCTGGTGAATGCCCTTCTTGAGGTTCAATCATTTACATTAGGAAATGTCTTGAAGTACTACTTTGTGGAAAATATTATGTACAAAAATATATTGGTTTAGTGTCTGTAAAATTTGTTTATGAATAAAAAAATGCCTTGTGGTTTGTTTATACAGGGCTTTTCATGATGAGCGTTAATTAGCCGTTTCTGGCAAACTATTCAACGGATCAACCTGAAAATTCCACAGTAAGCATAAATCAATATGACCTACACGCCTAAAATATTTTAGACGAAGCGGCGTTGTCGCTTCTGCTATAAAGTAGCGGCTTCTTTGATTTTTCAAATAGAACACCCCGAAAGAAGCCGCTACTTTATAGTAGAAGCGACAACGCCGCTTCGTCTGAAATATTTTAGGCGTGTAGGTCATATTGATTTATGCATACTGTGAAATTTTCAGGTTGATCCGTTAAATAGTTTGTCAGAAACGGCTAATTAACGCTCATCATGAAAAGCCCTGTATAGGTCTCCAAGTAGTAGCTGTATAGACTTTTTAGATTCTTTTGAAGATTGGTGTGATAATACAATTTGTGATGAAAACTGTAATGTGATCATTACAGGTGACATCAATATAGACTGGCTCTCGAATTCAACATATAGTAATAGGTCAAGAAATTGTATTTATGACATAGGTCTCAAAAACATGATTGGTGAATGTACTCGTCCTACAAATTCTGGTGGTTCAATCATTGAATTAATACTAACAAATGATGGAAATATTATAACAAAAATCCTAGATACACCCAGAATAACAGATCACTTCATAATAACCATCAACTAGGAATAATAAAGTGATTTGGGTTTTTATTTGATACGATATGTTGAACGCCAATCAGAGCGAATTACGTCACGTTAGAGTAAACAAACAGGGTGAATCAACAAGAATCCCTCGGTCCATTGCTATCAGAGGAAACAATTTTTTGAATTGCCCAATTTACAGTCAAATCGATGAATACTATCTATGAAAATTATTTTCTCGCATACTGGGTGGTTCACCCGAGCGTGGCCAACCAAAGTAACATTTTTTAAATTGAACACCCAGTATATGAATACGTCATTCGATTCCATATTTTTTTAGCTCTCTGAAGGATTTCTGTTTTTCAATTTCCATTGCGGCACTGCCAAATTATTCCAGAAAATCCTATTTTGCAGACAATATTTCTCCAATTCATCTACTACGATTCGAATTTTCCGCTTTACGCACGATAACTTCTGATTGGTCGACTGTATGACGGCAAAAGTGGAGGAGTGGGCTTTAAAATCTGAGGCCCAATTCACACAGAATGGACCTTTGTCCCTTCCATGTGAATTACCGGATTGAACCTGCCTAAATATGCACGTGTTTTCCATAAGGAATGTCATAGAACTGTTGAAGCTATATTACTCAGGCATGTATATATTATACTGGTGAATGCTCTGCGGTATATACAGACCAAACCGGTAGAAATTTTGACGTAAGGCTCCGTGGACACGTCTGTTTGGACAAAAATCCACAATATGTTTAAAAAAATCTGTTTAAAATCTGTTTTTCCGTTAACCAACTGTCACACCCCTACGAACGACAACCCTCAGAAGTCGAAACTTGTGCGAGCTAAGGATTACNTATGAACACTTTCAAGAATCAAAACACAAAATGAGAAAAGATAATCTCAAAATCTCACACGCATGTAATGAAGGGAAGAAAATGGATATATATAGCCCTAAACAAGCAACGCGATTTTTGTAGGTCTCCACTCCTGAATCAAGTTTGACAACCCAGGGTAATTTCTTTAATATACAGTATTATATTTTTATAGTTGGTACCCCTGTTCATTCAATTACCTCCCCATCCAGTTCACCTAAAAATATTTGGGTTTAAAGTAATAAATAATTTCCACAAAGCACAGTCATCAATTAAACAAAAACACCAATTGATTACACGCCACCTTGATAAAACATTCATTAAATCAGTAACTCGACTGAAATCGATGAGCCTCATCAGACACGGGCTTGAACGACGTCCTAGTATTGTTAAACGATCGCCCGACTCCCGAGTATTGTCAAACGGTCGACCGACTCCCGAGTATTGTCAAACGGTCGACCGACGCCCGAGTATTGTTAAACGGTCGCCCGACGCCCGAGTATTGTTATAACGGTCGACCGACGCCCGAGTATTGTTATAACGGTCGACCGACGCCCGAGTATTGTTGAACGGTCGACCGACGCCCGAGTATTGTTATAATGGTCGACCGACGCCTGAGTATTGTTGAACGGTCGAACGACGCCCGAGTATTGTTAGACGGTCGACCGACGCCCGAGTATTGTTAAACGGTCGACCGACGCCCGAGTATTGTTAAACGGTCGACCGACGCCCGAGTGTTGTTAAACGGTGTCGACCGATAATACGCGACTATTAGAACGGTACATGCAGAACGAATTCTTTGGTGAAACACGTCTCAGATTTTTCCTGTTGTTTTTGTTGCCCTGTGTTATTAAAAAAGCAAATCAAAATGAAATTTACATCGACTCACCTGATGTATATATCGGCGTATGTCCTTCATACAATTTCAGGAACGCCTTACAACCGCCATCTTGGAATGATGGTGCCCCCAAAACTGTGACGTGGGTCAGATACATGGGAGCAGAATTGATTTTGATGTTACGGGATAGTAATCCAGCGAAATACTCTACGTATCTGTGAGGAAATAATACAGGAAATTTAATTTTTTCAATACAGATTGATTATAGAAATTAGGGTGGAATTGAAGAAATCTATAAACGAATCATCAAAATATCTGTAAAGATGAGAAAGTTATGGGCAGTTGGAATTGCGTCCGCAGGAATAATTTCGTTCGGTGTGTTTTATTATATCCAATAACTTTGAAATTATTTTTAGAAATTCCAATATTCTTCGAATTGTGAAAAACATTAATAATCTCGGAAAATAATTTTCCACTGACATAAAAAACTTGGCAAGTTAACTTGGGTGTCACACCAATAGGTGGTTTCACTTATGTCTCGCTTGCGTTTACACATGTATTTTTATTAAGTACTTTTCTTGGTTTTTCTCATTTTGTCTTCAATCGAGGACCATTCATATCATTTCTAGAAACATGTGGATTCGTTTTCCAATGGCATTTCAGGTTAGCTTCCCAAATTTCTGCTACTGCAGTTGTCGGTTGATTGGTGAAACCACCAACACTGACATAAAAACTTGGAAAGTTGACTTGGGTGTCACACCAATAGATGGTTCCACTTACGTTTTGCTTGCGTTTACGCAACTATTTTTATCAAGTACTTTCTTGGTTTTTATCATTTTGTCTTCAATCGAAGACCCCCTGCCCGGTACTGACGATGCCCAATAGGCTGAAACAGCTGTCTACCGGTGGCTCTTGAATTGAAATCAATATGGAAATGATCAAAATAGTACTTATCTATTTATAAATAGCTGATTAACGGTTAACAGATTATTTTTAAAGTTTTCAAAATTGATCCATTTTCATCCATCAATTTATCTGTCATGTCATAATATTTGAAATATTTTGAAAACAAATCATCAAAAAAATACATGGAATAATATATCATCCTTCAGTATCAAATCAATCAAAATTAATATGTCATCTAGATGTTACTTCAGATATAATGGGACTTTTACCTTCTATTAGATGGAAGCAAAATTGGTCCAACATTGTCTTCCAGAAATTTTCGCATAGAAAACCTATCTAACGCTTGCTCTGCATTTCCACAAATACTTGAGTAGTGCATATACGCTGCCACGATAACTCCTAGTTTGTCTTTGTCTCCTCTGTGGAAAAAAAAAGTATGTTAGAAATGTGATAAACCCATGAACAGGCGATTTTATACAGTGCTTTTCAGATAAAAGTATCCACCTTTAATAACTTTTGTAATACTGGTATTTAGGAAAAATCCAAAAACACGTCAATTTATGTTGGAAGGGGCAAGCATTATGGCTTATTTAAACTTACTGGAAAAGCCACACCCTCACCCCTAGCATCATCCCTTTTTTTTACAACTTTGTAGAGAAGCGGTTTTTCGCTAGAACCACTACTTTTCGAAATATTGCGAAGAATGACCGAAAATTTCGAGGTTTTTCGGCTACCAAAAGTTGTGCCAAGCCCAGATTTAGTCACATTTTTTATATTCCATTAAAACGAAATGAAAAAAGGAATCTTCCACCCCACCTTTTGTAAAGTGAAATTCTCTGGGAACTGAACTAATTGTCTGACCTGACATTATTATATCCGGTTCGAAAACATTTATCTTCTTGGAGAAAACCGATGCCTGGGTTTTTGTGGCATTGATTGAACGTGGTTATTTTCACCCCAATTCGAAATCACTTCTAGATCCTCAATAAGATATACAACCTCCTGCTGCCGGTGAAGATGTGCCTCCGTAGCCGATGTCCTGGAATCCAAATGGATTGACGAGACAAGTGTGCTGTCGTCAGCAAAGCATTATATTAGATTCTTGTTTTTTCCAATGAGTCGTGGATATACAATAAAAAAAGGGTTGGAGACAATATGGATCCCTGAGGTTCATTCCTTATTGAGAAATAAAATGTTGAACGTATTATTTTAGAAAAAACAGAAAAATTGCTGTGGCTCATTTTATTGAGGAAATCAACGAAAGTAATATCAATGGCAACACAATCAACGCATGAAGTGGTCAAAATGACCTCCATTCAGTTCCATACAATAATACAGTCTACTTTTAAAAGCGTTTCTCACATTATTGAAGATATCTGGAGTCAGAAATCGGCATTCCTGAACAATTCTCTGTCGCAGGTCTTCTAGATTTGTTGAATTTATTTATATTAGTAGTGAACGTTTTGAATTGGACGACACTGTTAGTTTTTTCTGCACTGGTAGTTTTTGTTGAATCTAATTGTCGCAGAACAAAAAGTAGATAGTTGTCCACTGTCACACGAATTATTATTCATTCATCCTTGTTCACTGTGTTCTAAAATGGTTAATTCTACTGAACCTATTATCGGAATAATGAATGAACCAATTTCGAAAAAAATTGCAGAGCTAATAGAGACACAGAAGACCTTTCAAATAATGTATCACTCGACCCCCTATGCCATTAAAAAACATAGGGGGGTAGTTACTGACCGCAGGGGGGTGAAGTTTAGGGTATGATTTCCATATCAGAATTAGTCCCCCCTAGACAAAAAAAATGACGTGTTCTTCGAAATCTTCGATTACACGTCTTTTTCTGACTGACTGGGGGGGTGAAGTTTTCGTTGGAACGTCCTGTAGAATGACATAAGATTGAGAGGTTTTAATGTAGAAGTTTACAGAATCGCAATACCGGCAATTATACAAGGTGATTCAAAAGTACTTTGACAAACTTCAGAAGTGATTCCTCACAATATTCTAATATGAATTGTCCAAATAAATAAACGTTTCGTTTCCAAGATACAGGATGTTGAAGTTTTATTTTTATTTTCGTTTTTTTCAAATAACTTTTGAAATACTGAACTTAATTAAACGAAACTCGGTAATAGGAGGTTTTTGAGGTGTCGAATTCGAACCTGATGTTCTTATTGCTCTTACTCGTAGGGGGCGCCACCTACACATCTTTTTCTTTTTTAAAGATTCATAACTTTTTTGGGCGTACTTCTAGCACATTTTTCCGTAAAAAAATCGATTCCTCTATCATATCTACGTAAATAAACTACCCTTCTTACTAGTCGCTGTGAGCAACCGTTTTCTAAATATTTGGACTTGAAAACTTCAAGTAGATTATTTGATAATCGATGCATGTTGAAGTTATTACGNAAAAATAAAACTTCAACATCCTGTATCTTGGAAACGAAGCGTTTCCGGACATTTATTCATTTGGACAATTCATATTAGAATATTGTGAGGAATCACCTCCTGAAGTTTGTCAAAGTACTTTTGAATCACCCTGTATAATAGCTTTTCGATTGTAACTCATAGTATCTAATATATTCTCAAATTATTGATGAGTATATCAATGAAATAGGAATAGTTTACCTTGCATGAAGAACAGCTATTCTATGCTGATCTGCAGATAGCCAGGAATCGATTTCTTTACAAACACCACATAACTTTTCGAGTGGCGGAGCTAGTTTGGAAGCCCACCCCACTTCCTTAACATGCTTGTGTTCATTTCTTAAAGCTCTTTTGGGCTCTGATAGATTGAATACCTGAAAAATTAAAAAATTATTATATTAATAATGAAGGTCTTCATGCCCCAATGTGAGTGGAAGAAAAACTTTAATAAACTGAGCCGTTCTTGTTGAAAATCCACCGGTGAAACTTCTGAAATTTAACAGTTGATAACGGCCATCTTATTGGAGCTACACATGTCGAATTAGTTATTTATTCAGGCTGTTTTCAATAGTCGAACTTTCATTGGTAGCAGCTACAATTATTTTTTTTAACAAAAATGGAAACTAATGAAGCAAAAAACACTTTATTGTGAGATTTTCACTACATGATTGTTTTTGTTGGTAAAGGTTTTTTTATAATATCGACGAGAAATAAACATGAAATATGTAGAAGTAAGTTGATATTATGTGTAACTGAATCCTCATTGAATGTAGATGAGAAGTTACAAGCGAACACAATACCGGACCAAGATATCAAATGGAAATCTTCCCAACTCGAAGAGACGATACAAATATAGGTCAACGTATTGTTGAGCTATATAAGTACCCAAAGAGGGACTATAAACAGCAAATAAAACTTGCTAAAAAACGAGCTTATGATGATTACATTCGTTCAGCAAAAAATAAATTTAATGTTTGCTGGAAGATCCTCAATTTCGAACGAAATAAAGAAACTTGTCAAATTGCTTCCCATATCTCACCGGAAAATTTCAATTACTTTTTTGTGGATATTGCAGAAAGTATCATAAAATCTTTACCTAAATTACCCATATCTGATTTACAAAACTTTAAAAATTTTCCAGCTCCCTGCAACACCTTTTTTCTCAAGCCCGTTACCGACCTTGAAATCATAGAAGCTATGGGGCAAGAGATTGCCATAGAGTACAGTGTTCATCTTGAACGAGCAGGATTTGGGTTTTTGTTGATGTTGAGGGAAGATTTCCATGAATTATTTTACTCAGGTTGGTTTTTTGAGAAAAGCAGAGTCCAATAGTGCCTTCGTCTGTCAGTTTTCAACTTTTCAGTTGAATACTAACGACTTTTTGCTAGCTAATTCCGATATTGCAACATTTATAGTCAAGTATCTTTTCCATTATCTAGGAATGAATTTCAGTGAACCAAATTAAACGTTTTGTATTAACCAATTAACATATTCATCAACAATTCCCCTCTGCATAAACAGCTACTCAAGTAATAGGCATTACATTACCATCAAAAAACAGTACAATGTTTTTATTCACCAACTCTTCAATAACTTCGTAGAATACTAATCACTTGGTGATTACACAAACTTTTCTAAATTAGATCATCTCACTTGTAATAATGAATAATGTATTGCTTGTCTCATGTGAAATACATAATCCAGTCATTTAAGCTTAAATTAGGTAAGAATAATGACTGGACTAACAATGAAATCCTCTGAATTAAAACCGTTATTATGTGATCATATTCCGTGAACAAACTGGGAAATAATACTGCTCTGAAACTAGTAGGGCAAACCATCATCAATCACACGCCCACATGACCCATCTTCTGCATTGTTCACCTATTCAAACCGTGTTCAAGTGACACATGTGTTTTGTACTCCACACTGGTTTCCGTTATTTTGTCATGGAGATGGAGGATGAACAAACAGAAGTTTTTAATTGCATTTTGATTCCAATTTTGATTCCAATTCAATTCGTTCATTACCTTTTTTGCTTCAAACAATATGTAAGGTTCGTCAATACACAAATTGATGAAAAAAGTTTATCTATTCAACTATGCAATGAAGACAATATTCATAAATTTAAAATTTAGTTACAAGGTGTCCCTGGAGTTCCTTTCGGAAATGTATAGATATGGACAAAATATCACCAGCAATGCAAATAACTTTTGTTCCTGCTCTTGAATTGAAATC